AGGTCAACCCCGACGAGCTCGGTGCCCACAGCTCCGACTTCGAGGCTGAGAACGGCATCAAGGTCCAGTTCTCTGGCTCTGAAACTGCCACTGGAGGAGCTAGACTTGTTGGCTCATATTCGTAAGCATCATTTACTAACATTATACATCGGTGATCATTAAATATCATACACCAGACGCCTCCCTTCTCCTATGGACCGAATTTCCACTTAATGTTCGTCTGTTCACATTTGTTCCTTGTCAGTATCTGCTGCTGTAATCCCACATTGCATAATTTTCCCCTTCTCCACACATTTATTTCTTCAAAGTTCACAATAACCGTTACTTCTCCAACTTGTTCAATCTCTCTTATCTGGTTATCTCCCTCTTCTCACTGAATTTACCCAACAGGCCCTTCATTCTCACCTCAAGTTACCCTTCATATTCCCCCAATTATACGTACATTTCCTCTGGTAGAGACTTTTTCTTCGCCAAGGAAACAATCCTCTAGACTACACCAATTCCTCTAGCAGGACTTTGCCCTACGTGATAACCCTTTATCTTTCATTATGAGTTACTCTTCTGTTCTTCTGTTTTTCAAAGTCATTTCTGATCGCTTTCCATGCATACATTTTCGCCGAGATCTTTCTATATGTTTTGTTACGTATTAATTTACAGTACGATTAATTCTAAACTATCTATCATCGGGGCTCCCATACTGACATCATTTACTGTTCTAATAACCATTTTTTACAACAATGGTACTGAATCAGGGGTAAAGAACTCAGCATCTGGTTATGTTTATTTGTTCCTGTTCATGTATATTGCAGTTTGCGTCTGGAAGATAAACTGACGCATTCAGAGTGCTAAACATATGAAAAAAGACATAGTTGAGATCCACATATGTTAAAATAATAACGAGGATGTTTTCTCTCAGCTACCCTCAGGAGGATGGCAGTTTAGCGACGGTAGAGTTCGTAGCTGACGAGAACGGCTACCAGCCCCAGTCCGACCTGTTGCCCGTGGCCCCGGAGTTCCCCCACCCCATCCCCCAGTTCGTCCTCGACCAGATCGCCTTCGCCGAGGAGGAGAGGAAGCGCAAGGAACGCGAAGGAAACTAAATTGGCGCTAATTATAATGTTCTCTGGATTCGCGGATATACCGCTGGCCACCTCCACTTCTTCCTCCTCTTCCTCCTTCTCCTGCCACGCTTGACCTTCCAACATACGTCACAGTGTATATTTATTATAATTTATTACAATGTAAATAAATAATTTGCAAATTATATTCACTTATTCTCCGATACTTCTATTTGCTACTTGTTTTATCTGCGTCATGTCCAGCACACTATTTGCGTCACAAACTCGAGAGTAACGCATCGAGCAACCTAACAGTCGCCTTGCTGCTCTTGTTCTTCGCACATAGGAGTAAAATAAAAGTTTTTTTGTGGTCGATACATTATAGATAATTATCCTTAGCCTCGACCTAGATACATAAAGATTGTATTATAGTATCCTACTTACATAACACTAGTATTAATGTGGTCAATATTTTACTATACTTGATTAAAAGCGTATATCATAGCACTTCGCAACACTGCATTCGTTTATTTTGATCCTTTATAGCACTTAGAAGGGGTTAGTATAAGGATTTGGGATAGGACAGGGGGGGGGGGGGAGGAATGGTGTCAAACAACTTGGACGGTCGGGGATTGAACGCACACTTACGTAAACCGGGACCGTCGCTCTACCGTCCCGCCCTAGTAGTTGGACAACAGAAGTACAAATTTTACACTTTTTTGTAATGTAAATAAACCAAATCTAATGATCACATAATGTTCTACTGTTATTAAATATATTTATTAACTAGAATGTCTGAACAATTTACACAGCAAGTCCGGCCTTACGGAACCCACCAGGATCCGGATGTTCCGTCCTCTCTCCACCTGCCAGAACCTGGATGGTCCGTCCTCTCGGCACCCGCCAGGACCCGGACGGTCCGCCTTCTCGGCACCTGTCAGGACTTGGATTGTCCGCCCTCTCGGCACCCGCCAGGACCCGGACGTTCCGCCTTCTCGGCACCTGTCAGGACCCAGATGGTCCGTCCTCTCGGCACCCGCCAGGACCCAGACAGTCCGCGTTCTCGGCACCTGTTAGGACCCGGACATTATGTCCTCTCAACATCCACCAGGACCCGGACGGTCCGCCCTCTCAGCACCTGCCAGGACCCAGACGGTCCGTCCTCTTGGCACCCGGCAGGATTCGGATGGTCCGCCCTCTCGACACCCGCCAGGACCTGGACGGTCCGCCTTCTCGGCACCCACCAGGACCCGGATGGTCCACCCAACTCTGGGATTTGTCCGCGGTTTGTATCATAGCGTCATGAGGCCAGTTACAATAAAACATTGGATGACGCTAAAATGCGTCAATACACCACTGTAGTGCTAACATATGCTTCACTCCGATACTCCGTGTTGCTGAACATTTTTTTGTCATGAATTATGTCAATATTTTAGACATATTGATCATTATAGTAACAGTTTGACCCTAGGTTTATTGTATTGACAGTTTGACCCCATGTTTTCCTTGTTGACAGTTTAGTGGCGTCAGATACGATGCCTCGTCTACTATTCTGATAGCTGCTCATCAAAGTCTACACTGTTGACAGCAACGACCACACGTCTGTAGTGTTCACAGTGTCTGAACACTGTGAACACTTGTTTATGGTCATGACTATAATAATGGGTTCTTCCTTTGCATAATGTGTAATGGGGTTGTTAAATATTTTTGAATGTGTAATCATCCTTCTTAATGTTTCCATAAATATGAGGGTAACTAATCAGTCATATTTTCACCATTCTTAGTTGAGAAGCATAATAAATATGCACTTCTAAAGCATTTGAAATCATTCCATATCTACCGAAGATTCTAAGTTACTTAAGTCTTGACGTGGAAACTTGGTAACCCTAAGTTTACTAACATGTTTATGGGCACCATAAGTGTCAAGGAATCTAGGTGACCTCCTACCTACCAGTGAGCCTAGATGACCCATACAAAGTAAGAAACTTAAGCAGTCAGTTCCTTGCAAGAAGGATAAGTCACCGATATGCGTACAAAAGGAGCCTTAGATCTCCTAATTCTGTCAGTAGCCTTTATGGTCCGTTATCTGTCAGTGTAAAAAGGTTATATAATATGATAACGAGGCCAGGACATTCCACAAATTGTCAGGCAGCTATAATGCATTCTCATGGTTGTCAAGGAGTTCAGATTAAGGTGCCCCTCATGCCTACCAAGTAGTATAGGCGACCTAACAGGCATAATAAGGCCGAGTAAAGCCTGTCTACATTCCCCGATCAAGACTGAACAACACAATAAGCAACACGTGACGAAATTATCTTAAATGTACTAACCAGCGTCGCTATCAAACTGTCAAATGTTCCTTTCACTATAACCTGTATGCAAGGTCATCCTCTGTTTTGTTAAGTAAAAACAACGGTATCAAAATGCTTTTACATTTATCTGTACCTATAGGAGGAGAGAATGACTGTCTGTCTGGCCTTCAATCTTAAAGACGCTTTTGACTAGCCTTAAACAACTTTGCAGGTGAAAGAGTCTGGGATATGGGACACACATGAACTGGGCGGGGTCACCAGACTTCAAGAGGGAGCCGCGTGCCAGGATCACACTCTGACCCTCACGACGATTTTTGGCACTGTCCGCCAGCTACACCTGGCTAAATATTTAGAACCCAAAATAAAAAATAAAATTTATTTGTATTATACATATATAAAATATATATATAATATTATACATATATAATATATATATATATGGTGAGCGTGTGTGTATTCACCTAGTTGTGCTTGAGGGGGGGTTGAGCCCTGCTCTTTCGGCCCGCCTCTCAACTGTCAATCAATCAACTGTTACTACTACTATTAACTGGTTTTTTCACACACACACACACACACACACACACACACACACACACACACACACACACACACACACACACACACACACACACACACACACACACATCCGTAATTCTGTGGCGCGGGTTCGATTCCCGCACGAGGCAGAAACAAATGGGCAAAGTTTCTTTCACCCTGAATGCCCCTGTTACCTAGCAGTAAATAGGTACCTGGGAGTTAGTCACCTGTCACGGGCTGCTTCCTGGGGTGTGTGTGGTGTGAAAAAAAAAAGTAGTTAGTAAACAGTTGATTGAGAGTTGAGAGGCGGGCCGAAAGAGCAAAGCTCAACCCCCGTAAAAACACAACTAGTAAACACACACACACACACACACACAAGCTGCTTCCTGAGTGAAACAGCTGTCTACCTCACAGGTACCTATTTACTGCTATGTAACAGGGGCATCAAAGTGAAAGAAACTCTACCCATCTGTTTCCGCCGGCTCCGGGAATCGAACCCGAGCCACATGACTACGTATCTATCATGCTGTCCACTCAGCCACCAGCGCTTATGTGTGTGAGTGTGTAAATACTTATTAGGCAGAACCGTCTGACTTAACCTACTTAACAAGGTTTGCCTTGTCCTGATAAGCAAAGGTTGCTTTTCTTTTTCCACAATATCATTGCGCGAGTTTATATAAATATCGCGGTATTTACGTATTTGAAAGATTACCTAAATTCTTATTTAATATCATTTGAATTTTACTTAAGTTAAGCATTAATGATAAATCATAACAACTTCATGTAACATAAATAGGATTAAGTTAGTTTGGACTCAAAATATACGAAATACATATCAATAGTGCTGAATTTAATGTATATGTCAATGCATGAAACAAGCAGCAAAAGCATTTATAATACAAATGAGTATATACTCTAAGAAGATTACAGAGACAACCACCTCGCCCTTCAGCGCTTTACGCCACAGATCGTGTTCATGACCCAAGGTACTAACTAGCTGACATTACTAAGTGACAACATGCTGGAAAAAACTCGCGGACATAGACCCACAGTTGCAGGACAACCTTTTGCAGGCAGGCAGCTTGACCCTAGAGCGGCCATCTCCTCGCTGGGTATATAAACCGCTCCACACACCCAGACACCATCACACTCACTCACTACTCCACAACATGAAGCTGGTGAGTACCGCCACATGGAGCTCCGGTGACGCATCACAAATCTCTTTACCGAAACTTACAGCAATCATGAGTTACTTGCATATTTTCAAACACAGGTCTGCAACATGCAAGTAAAGAAACATTTATGTATCTTTTTATATTTGGGATCTTCTTTACGTGTTTTAGATCGTGCTGGTTGCTCTTGTGGCTGTGGCAGTGGCCGACAAGCTGCCCCTCAACACTCCACCAGTCGCCATCCTCCGCAGCCAGCAGGTCAACCCCGACGAGCTCGGTGCCCACAGCTCCGACTTCGAGGCTGAGAACGGCATCAAGGTCCAGTTCTCTGGCTCTGAAACTGCCACTGGAGGAGCTAGACTTGTTGGCTCATATTCGTAAGCATCATTTACTAAAATTATACATCGGTGATCATTAAATATCATGCACCAGACGCCTCCCTTCCCATCTGGACCGAATTTCCACTTAATGTTCGTCTGTTCACCTTTGTTCCTTGTCAGCATCTACTGCTATAATCCCAGATTGCATGATTTTCCTCTTCTCCACACATTTATTTCTTCAAAGTTCACAATAACCGTCACTTCTCCAACTTGTTCAATCTCTTTTATCTGGTTATCTCCCTCTTCTCACTGAATTTACCCAACAGGCCCTTCATTCTCACTTCAAGATATTCTTTATATTGCCTCAATTATACGTACATTTCCTCTGGTACAGACTTTTTCTTCGCTAAGATTACACCAATTCCTCTAGCAGGACTTTGCCCTACATGATAACCCTTTACCTTTCATTATGAGTTACTCTTCCGTTCTTCTATTTTTCAATGTCATTTCTGATCGCTTTCCATGCATACATTTTCGCCGAGATCTTTCTATATGTTTTGTTACGTATTAATTTACAGTACGATTAATTCTAAACTATCTATCATCGGGGCTCCCATACTGATATCATTTATTGTTCTTATAACTATTTTTTACAACAATGATACTGAATCGGGGGTAAAAAACTCAGCATCTGGTTACATTTATTTGTTCCTGTTCATGTTCATTGCAGTTTGCGTCTGGAAGATAAACTGACACATTCAGAGCACTAAACATATACAAAAGACACACGTGTTAAAATACTAACGAGGATGTTTTCTCTCAGCTACCCTCAGGAGGACGGCAGTTTAGCGACGGTAGAGTTCGTAGCTGACGAGAACGGCTACCAGCCCCAGTCCGACCTGCTGCCCGTGGCCCCGGAGTTCCCCCACCCCATCCCCCAGTTCGTCCTCGACCAGATCGCTTTCGCCGAGGAGGAGAGGAAGCGCAAGGAACGCGAAGGAAACTAAATCGGCGCTAATTATAATGTTCTCTGGATTCGCGGATATACCGCTGGCCACGTCCACTTCTTCCTCCTCCTCCTCCTCCTTCTCCTGCCACGCTTGACCTTCCAACATACGTCACAGTGTATATTTATTATAATTTATTACAATGTAAATAAATAATTTGCAAATTATATTCACTTATTCTCCGATACTTCTATTTGCTACTTGTTTTATCTGCGTCATGTCCAGCACACTATTTGCGTCACAAACTCGAGAGTAACGCATCGAGCAACCTAATAGTCGCCTTGCTGCTCTTGTTCTTCGCACACAGGAGTAAAATAAAAGTTTTTTTGTGGCCGATACATTTAGATAATTATCCTTAGCCTCGACCTAGATACATAAAGATTGTATTATAGTATTCTAGTTACATAACACTTGTATCAATGTGGTCAATATTTTGCTATACTTGATTAGAAGCGTATATCATAGCACTTCCCAACTCTGCATTCGTTTATTTTGATCCATTATAGCACTTAGAAGGGATTAGGATAAGGATTTGGGATAGGAAGGGGGGGGAAGAAATGGTGTCCAACCACTTGGACGGTCGGGGATTGAACTCAGACCTACAGGATGCGAGACCGTCGCTCTACCGTCCCGCCCAAGTGGTTGGACAAAGTAGTACAAATTTTACACTCTTTGTACTGTAAATAAACCAAATCTGGTGAGCACATAATGTTCTACTGTTATTAAATATATTTATTAACTAGAATGTCTGAACAATTTAAACAGCAGGTCCGGCCTTTCGGCACCCGCCAGGACCCGGACGGTCCGCCCTCTAAGCACCCACAACGACCCGGACAGTCCGCCTTCTTGGCACCCGCCAGGACCCGGACGGTCCGCCTTCTCGGCACCCGCCAGGACCTGGACGGTCCGCCTTCTCGGCACCCGCCAGGACCTGGACGGTCCGCCTTCTCGGCACCCACCAGGACCCGGATGGTCCACCCAACTCTGGGATTTGTCAGCGGTTTGTGTCATAGCGTCATGAGGCCAGTTACAATAAAACATTGGATGACGCTAAAATGCGTCAATACACCACTGTAGTGCTAACATATGCTTCACTCCGATACTCCGTGTTGCTGAACATTATATTGTCATGAATTATGTCACTATAATGATCAATATGTCTAAAATATTAACAGTTTGACCCTAGGTTCACCGTATTGACAGTTTGACCCCATGTTTTCCTTGTTGACAGTTTAGTGGAGTCAAACACGATGCCTCGTCTACTATTCTGATAGCTACTCATCAAAGTCTACACTGTTGACAGCAACGACCACACGTCTGTAGTGATCACAGTCTGACCCCTTGTTTATGGCCATGACTATATTAATGGGATCTTCCTTTGCATAATGTGTAATGGGGTGGTTAAATATTTTTGAATGTGTAATCATCCTTCTTAATGTTTCCATAAATATGAGGGTAACTAATCAGTCATATTTTCACCATTCTTAGCTGAGAAGCATAGTAAATATGCACTTCTAAAGCACTTGAAATCATTCCATATCTACCGAAGATTCTAAGTTACTTTAGTCTTGACGTGGAAACTTGGTAACCCCAAGTTTACTAACATGTTTATGTGGCACCATAAGTGTCAAGGAATCTAGGTGACCTCCTACCTACCAGTGAGCCTAGATGACCCATACAAAGTAAGAAACTTAAGCAGTCAGTTCCTTGCAAGAAGGATAAGTCACCGATATGCGTACAAAAGGAGCCTTAGATCTCCTAATTCTGTCAGGAGTCTTTGTGGTCCGTTATATGTCAGTGTAAAGTGGTTATATAATATGATAACGAGGCCAGGACATTCCACAAATTGTCAGGCAGCTATAATGCATTCTCATGGTTGTCAAGGAGTTCAGATTAAGGTGCCCCTCATGCCTACCAAGTAGTATAGGCGACCTAACAGGCATAATAAGGCCGAGTAAAGCCTGTCTACTTTCCCCGATCAAGACTGAACAACACAATAAGCAACACGTGACGAAATTATCTTAAATGTACTAACCAGCGTCGCTATCAAACTGTCAAATGTTCCTTTCACTATAACCTGTATGCAAGGTCATCCTCTGTTTTGTTAAGTAAAAACCACGGTATCAAAATGCTTTTACATTTATCTTTACCTATAGGAGGAGAGAATGACTGTCTGTCTGGCCTTCAATCTTAATGACGCTTGTGACTAACCTTAAACAACTTTGCAGGTGAAATAGTCTGGGATATGGGACACACATGAACTGGGCGGGGTCACCAGACTTCAAGAGGGAGCCGCGTGCCAGGGTCACACTCTGACCCTCACGACGATTTTTGGCACTGTCCGCCAGCTACACCTGGCTAAATATTTAGAACCCAAAATTTAAAATAAAATTTATTTATATTATACATATATAAAATATATATATAATATTGTATATATATAATATATATATATATAATATATATATATATCCAGTCTCCCCATACCAGATCCTCCCAGCTCCCGCTCACCCCAGACCCCACAGGTCCTCCCCAGAGGAGAAGCAGAAGAGAGTTAGTTTCAGGACAATGTACTCGAACATAGATGGAATCACAAGCAAGGCAAGTGAACTAAGGGAAAGAGCACAAGAAGTGAACCCAGATGTAATTGGACTCACTGAAACAAAACTCTCTGGAATCGTAACGAATGCCGTGTTTCCCCAGGAGTACACAATAATAAGGAAAGAGAGGGAAGGTAGGGGAGGAGGAGGAGTGGCCCTACTCATGAGAAAGGAATGGAGTTTTAAGGAGATGGCTATCCCGGGCTGTGAGGGTTTCAGAGACTACATAGCAGGCACCATGACAATGGGAGGACCAAGGATAGTAGTAGCAGTAATATATAATCCTCCACCAAATGACAGAAGACCCAGTCAAGAGTACGAAAGCAACAACATGGCAGTTAACACTATAATTGAGAGGGCAGCCTCTTCTGCCTGTAGAAATAGATCCCACCTGCTCATCATGGGGGACTTCAATCACGGCAGGATTGATTGGGAGAACAAGGAACCGCATGGAGGCGAGGATACGTGGAGAGCCAAACTACTGGAGGTGGCGACTAGAAACTTCTTAACCCAGCATGTCAGTGAACCCACAAGGATGAGAGGAAATGACGAACCAGCGAGACTCGACCTGGTTTTCACCCTGAACGACTCTGACATAAGAGAAATCAGTTTTGAGGACCCAGTAGGAATGAGCGACCACAGTGTATTGGTGTTTGAGTACCTGATTGAAGAAGGGTTATTGAACTCGAGAAGGGATACCGAAACCAAAAGGTTAGCATACCGAAAGGGAAACTATGAGGAGATAAGAAAATGCCTAGCAGATATAGCATGGGAAACAGAGCTCCGGGAAAAGACGGCCCAAGATATGATGGAATACATCACGCAAAAATGCAAGGATGCAGCAAACAAGTTTGTCCCAGTCCAAAAGGAAAACAGTGAAATGAAGATGAGAAACCCATGGTTTAATCAGAGATGTAGGCTAGCTAAGCAGCAAAGTAAAAGGGCATGGAGAAACTATAGGAATAACAGGACACTGGAGAGCAGAGAAAGATACCAGAATGCCAGGAATATGTTAGGATGAGAAGAGAGGCAGAAAGACAATACGAAAATGACATCGCAAGCAAGGCAAAGACTCAGCCTAAATTGCTGCATAGCCACATCAGGAGAAAAACAACAGTAAAGGAACAGGTTATGAAATTAAGGTTAGGGGCAGAAGGATTCACTACAAACGACAAGTAAGTGTGTGAGGAACTGAATAAGAAATTCCAAGAGGTCTTCACCTTAGAGCAAGGAGAAATCCCAGAGATAAGAGAGGGAATAGCTAACCAGGAACCACTGGAAGAGTTTGAGATTACCAGCGGGGAAGTAAGGAAGTGTTTACTAGAATTGGATGTGACAAAGGCTTTAGGCCCAGATGGAATCTCCCCTTGGATACTAAAGGAAGAAGCAGAAGAACTGTGCCTCCCGCTCTTCATGGTGCATAACAAATCACTGGCAACAGGGGAACTGCCAGAAATTTGGAAAGCAGCTAACGTAGTCCCGATATACAAGAAAGGGGATAAACAGGAGGCACTGAATTACAGACCAGTGTCCCTAACCTGCATACCATGCAAGATGATGGAGAAGATTGTGCGAAGAAAGCTAGTGGAGCACCTGGAGCGAAAGAACTTTGTAACACAGCATCAACATGGATTCAGGGATGGCAGGTCCTGCCTCACAGGGTTACTTGAATTCTACGACCAGGCAACAAAAATAAGGCAAGAAAGAGAAGGGTGGGCAGACTGCATATTTTTGGATTGTCAGAAAGCCTTTGACACAGTGCCACACAAGAGGCTAGTGAAAAAACTGGAGATGCCGGCTGGAGAGAAAGGGAAGGTACTCCGTTGGATACAGGAGTACCTAAGTAACAGGAGACAACGAGTCAGTGTGAGGGGTGAGGTCTCAGATTGGCGAGACGTTACGAGTGGAGTACCGCAGGGGTCAGTCCTTGGACCTATACTGTTTCTGATATATGTAAATGATCTTCCAGAGGGTATAGAATCGTTTCTCTCAATGTTTGCCGATGATGCAAAAATTATGAGGAGGATTGAAACTGAGGACGATAGTAGGAGGCTACAAGATGACCTAGACAGACTGAGTGAATGGTCCAACAAATGGCTGTTGAAGTTCAACCCGAGTAAATGCAAAGTAATGAAACTAGGTGGTGGAAATAGGAGGCCAAACACAGGATACAGAATAGGAGATGAAGTACTTAATGAAACGAACAGAGAGAAAGATCTAGGAGTTGATATCACACCAAACCTGTCTCCTGAAGCCCACATAAAAAGAATAACGTCTGCGGCATATGCGAGGCTGGCTAACATCAGAACAGCGTTCAGGAACCTGTGTAAGGAATCATTCAGAATCTTGTACACCACATATGTAAGACCAATCCTGGAGTATGCGGTCCCAGCATGGAGCCCGTACCTTGTCAAGCACAAGACGAAGCTGGAAAAAGTCCAAAGGTATGCCACTAGACTAGTCCCAGAACTAAGAGGCATGAGTTACGAGGAAAGGCTGCGGGAAATGCACCTTACGACACTGGAAGACAGAAGAGTAAGGGGAGACATGATCACAACCTACAAA